GGGGGGTCACATGAAGCCCACCAAAGGATTTTGAGCCACCCATAAGGATGTGGACCAACTTCAAGGCTCCTCTACCGTTTGGCCTCCTGCTGAGGAGAGTGCCATGAAGAGGAGGAGGAGGAGGAAGGGTGAGTGCTCACCCTACAAGGTTCCTCCATTACTCGGCATTATCTTGAGGAGAAGGACAGGCAGAGGAGGAGGAGGAGGGGGGGGCAAAAGCTTTCCCTGAAAGCCTCCTCCACTGCTTGGCTTTCTCCTGAGGAGAAGAGGAGGATGGGAGGAAGAGGAGGGACAAACACTCACCCTGCAAGGCTTTTCCTTTGCCTGTCTTTCTGAGAAGGCCGGGCAGCAGAGGAGGAAGAGGGGCAAACGTTTACCCCTCAAGGCTCCTCCATTGCTTGGTCTTCTCTTGAGGAAAAGTCCTGGAAGACAAGTAAGCTCCTCCATTGCTCTCCTTTTTCCTGAGGAAAGCACTGGCCAGAGGAGGACAAAGATGGAATTAATATTAATTAATTCTAATTAATACTATTAATTAATTATAATTAATATTATCAATTAATATTAATTAATTAATATTAATTAATTCTGATTGATGTGAATTAGTTCTAATTAATCTAGCAATAGCAATAGCAAGTATATTTCTGTGCTGCTTATCAGTGCACCTAAGCACTCCCTAAGCGGTTTACAACTGTAAGTTAATTGCCCCCAACAAGCTGGGCATTCATTTTAGTGACCCACAGAAGGATGCCAGGCTGAATCAATCCTGGAGCTCTGCGTGGGCTAGATTTCACAACCCTGCAGTACCAGCATTTAACCACTGTGTCGCCAGGGCTCCTTTTAATATTATTAATATTATTAATTAATATTCTAAATTAACTAATAATTGAAACCCATCTGCGGCCGTAAGAAGTTTAACCTGTTTTAATTTTGACCCCTACCTACTTTTGACAATTTGTGTAGGTCTGATCTAGACACTATATTCCAATGATTCAGCCTAGAATTGCATTGGTTTTTTTTCTAGCTGCCACATCACACTGCTGGCTCATATTCATCTTGTTGCCCACTAAGACCCCTAGATCCCTTTCACATGCACTGCTGTTGAGCCAGGTGTCACCCGTCCTGTATCTCTGCATTTCATTTTTACTGTCCCAGTGTAGTACCTTACATTTCTCCCTCTTGAAATTCATTTTGTTAGTTTTGACCCAGGTTTCTAATTTATTAAGTCTATTAAGGGGCTGAGTAGATCGGCATAAAGAGCCGCACCGATTTTGCCCTGAAACCAGCTTCACATCACGCTCCCCAATGCATGGTAGGAAGTGTCATGGTGTTCCCTTGGCGCAGCGTCCACATGCTGCACCAAAGGAGCCTTGCTGCCACTGTGGTTGCAAGGGTGGCTTTTGCTGCTCTAAAAAGGAGCGGCATTTGCCAGCTCTTTTTAGAGCGGCAAAGCACCAGATTGGGGCATGCCACGATCCCAATCCAGCAAGCCTTTTGGGTGGTCTGTACAGCCCCTAATTCTATTTTGAATAGCAGGTATTCTATACCAGGAATGGCAGCTGCAGCCCTCTTGATGGTCTTGAATAACAATTCTCATAATCCCTACCAATGCTCCTTTAATTTCACCCTAGCTTTGTAACATTCTTGGGAGTTTATCTGAAAAAAGCAATTTCCCTTCTTTGTTTCTGGAGCCCCTGGAGTCTTTCCAATCTGCTACAATGTCCAGCTTGCTCTCAGTAAAAGATACTTAATGAAAAAATTGTAATGCAAATTTTGGGGATACCTTTTAAATAGTATCACTAATATTTTACTCTTGCTACGTTGTTGTTGTTGCATACTTTTAATTCATTTCCGACTTATGAGGACTCTAAGCAGACCTATCATGGGGTTTATTGGCAAGATTTGTTCAGAAGAGATGTGCTATTGCTTTCCTTTGAGGTTGTGAAACCCTACTGGTTTTCTGTAGCTGAGTGGTGATTTGAACCCTGGTCTCCTAAACTCCTAATTCAACACTCAAACCATTAGATCATGCTGGCTCTCCTCTGCTACTTTATCATTTGAGCTATAAAGTATAGTACCTGGGCTCAGAAAATAGAAACTCTTTGTAAGGAAATGCAGATCTGTACCAACATCTCCGACAGCCAGCGTAGTATATTGGTTTGAACGTTGTGCTGCAGCTCTGGAGGCCAGGGTTCAAATCCCTGCTTGAGCTTAAAAACTCACTGGGTGACCTGGGCCCATCACACTCTCTCAGCCTCCAAGGATGGCCATGGCAAACCCCCTCTGAAGAAACATGCCAAGAAAACCAAAATTATAGGGTCGCCTTAAGGTTGCCATAAGTAAAAAAATGACTTGGAGGCACACAACAACAAAAACTAACATCTCCACCAGCATGTCAACAAAAGTATTGTACTGATATGATAGATTTTAGAGGGGAATAAAGTGCCACCTGTGAAACACTTTGAGATGCCTGTTTAGCTTGTTTTAATCAGTAGCGTGATCAAAATGAAAATTTCCCAGACTACTGGTATATATATATATGTGTGTGTGTGTGTGTGTGTGTGTGTATTAAAAGGTTAAACTTTTGTCCAGCACAATCATGCGCTTGTTAACTCAGATATTAAGTCCTATTTCATTTACTGAGGCTTACTCCCAGGTAAATACATGCATATTTAGGCGCATAAACCTGATTATTGTTCTTTCGCTCCTCAATGACTGCACATCATGATGAAAGAGATATATAATTCCTATTCACTATAATAGTATTACAGTAAGTATACTTAATGCATAATGGCAAAGCCTCACCTGCCTCACTCTAGCCCAGGGACCAAAATCATCTACATTTCCTATGCCTGGGTTTTGACTCACCTAAATGCCTTGGAGACAATGTGTAAATGGTGCATTAAGGTATGTGCAAATGGGATTTAGGATACAGTTGAATAAATGATAGCTTACACTGACTACGCTCCCTTTATAGTTAGGGAATGAAAATTTTTCTTGTTTAAATTTTCTTTCCCCCTCCCCAGTAATGGTTTTCATAATTAAAAGACATCTATTTTACAGTTACGGATGCCTTGGCCTTCTGCCAATTCTCCTAGCAAAAGGGCTATCCAAGAGAGCGTCTTTGGATTTTCTGGTAATTCTTGTTTTAAGAAAAGTCTTACAAACAAGAAGAAGCAAAGTTTTCATAATGTCTTTGGTCATGTTACTGCTTGTTTTGTGAGCATAATAGAGTGCAGCCATTTCTTCCCGAATTCTACAGCTATGCAGCAACAAGCCTCGGGTACTACAGCAATGCAGCAGAAGACAAAATACGCATGTCATAGGGTGTGTGTTCATGAGTAAAGTCTCTCACTCACTTTCCCTTGAATTGTAAATAGAAAGTGCGTATTATTTTTTACAATACAGAGTTCCTGGGTTATAGTGTTTGCTCACAATACTAAGTGGGCCCTTGGTATTTGCTGGGTTTTGGGTCCAAGACCCCTTGTGGATACCAAAATCTGTGGATGCTCAAGTCCTATGAAATACAATGGTGTAGTAATATGGTGCCCTTATATCAAATGGCAAAATCAAGATATTTTTTTTTTTGGAATTGATATATTTAAAAAATATTTTCAAGCCATGGATGCTTGAATTCATGCATTAAAAAATCCACTAATATGGAGGGCTGACTATACAGTATTTTTCTTCGCACCCCTTTCTGGTAAAAAACGTTCTACTGGGCCTCTTTCAATGTAAGCCAATAAGCACAATTGCTATCTAGGTTTCTATAGGACTGGGGAATTTATATCTTACCAGAATCTATTAATTAAAAAGTTAGTAATTCATTATGCTTTATTGTCCTGCAGTGCAAATTTACCATGTTTCCTCAGTCCGGTGGGTTTACATTTTTGTAAGTGTGTTTATTAGGATGGGATATTTAATGCTCAGAAATCTACAAATATTGGTTTTGTTTTAAGAAAAATAATAATGATCGCTTTGCCAGTAGAGTAGCCGGAAGCGAGAGAAACATTCTAAAGTACAGAACTTCCTGTTTTTCTGCCTTTCAAGTCAGCTGTGATGGCAACTTTCATACAACTCAGTGAAAATTGCTTTCCATTTCCAATTTCTTTGTTATAGCTTTCTAGCACTGGAGCCAACACTTTTAAAATACAGAGAATGGCTTCCTCAAGTACAAACTGATAATGATGATGGTGATGGTGATGATGATTTAAACACAGAGCCATAATGACAGTCCTGTGTTATATCTGAGTCTGATAAATCATATCACACTATTATACATATATATATATATAATGTATACATTATATATTATACAAAAATCAAGGCAGGGGGGCAGAAAGTGTTACAGGACATTCCTTCTGTTTTCTGCTTTAACCCTCTGGCTTCTATGGTCTGTAGCTTTCAACAAATTATTGTTTTATTGTTTTGATTGTTGATAGTTGGTATTAGTGCTATCATTGCCTGTCTGTCTAGATGCCTTTTGGTGTAATAACCTCATGCTGTGTGTGTTTTTTATTCTGTTCCCCACTTTCTATTTCTTTTGTGACGTTGTGTTCAGATTGGGGTTTTTCAATCAGCTGGCTTTGGGCAGATGAATTCTACAAATAGATAGTATATTAAACAAATGTACGTGTGATTACAGTGCCTTAAGGAAATGGCTATTGCTCCTCAATCCAATGTCAATCTAACCAACACAGAAATAAGGATTCTCAATTATTGGCTCTTCCCTCATTTACACACAAAAAAAGTATGAACAATGAGGTGGTAAGCCTGTTTCTTGACTGTACCCCTTCAAAATATGGACAGGTTATTGCATTTACATATTGACATACTTTCCCATGAAAAACAAATTTCAAAACCAGCATGTCAGAGGAGAAAATTAGGCATCTAGTTTCTGAGAGCACAGTGGTGTTTTTTTTTTTTTTTTAAGAATCTGATAATTGGCATTATCCTTGCAAAGTATAGGAGTGGCTTTACTAAATTAGTTGGTCACATCTATGAGCCTTACCACATTGCAAAAGTAAGACAAGAGGCAGCGAGATAGAAGCAGCTTTCTGTTTACCTCTCCGCATACCTTCAAAGCAGTTCTGTTCTATTCCCAAGGGAGATGATTGTAAAAGTGTGCCTTTTGTTGCACTGGAAAAATCTGTTTATCAAAAGGCATTTTTATGACTGTCTCTCTCTGGAGGGAGAATGGAAGTACTATGATGTCATGTTGGAAGGTAAGCAGAAAGTGACTTCTGTCTCACTGCATCTTATCTTACTTTTGTAATACGGTAAGGCTGTGTGTGTGTGTCTCTACACACACACACACACACACACATGGCCTCTCTGTTAACCTAGTGAAGACGCACAGTAGGCGACTAACAAGAATCAAACAAAAATCAATATAGTTAAACCATGAAAACAAAGCACAGTCAGTATGTCAAAGAACAGGTCAACAGGTCAAAAGAAATTATAGCGCCCAGCCAATTAAAGTCTCCTTTTACAGCAACCAAACATAAATGCCAAAGCTCTGTCTAAATAAAATATTGGGATGGACAGTGTGTGACTGCCCCATTGGGTGTTCACTGTCCTCTGAGGTGTTCACTGTCCCCTAGTGATGCCCCAGAGTCCAGGGTGATAAGAGGTCCTCGTTTTCCAGGACATGTCTTACATTTCAACCTTCTGTCCAAGAGGAATGTGAAAATGTCCTCCATTTTGACCATAACTAAGAAGCATGAATTTACATTTATATGAGTGTTTTAAGCTTTTCTTTTGTAATGTCCTACATTTATTTTTATTTTTATTTTAAATCTGGTTTCCTTTGCGGTTAGGACACCTGGTCACTCTGCCTGAGTCCCAAGCGCTATATTTTTTATATGCTATAAACTGTGTCTGGAGACAATCAATAGCCATGGAAGTTGTTTTGATGATGGAATCACATGGTCTTTATAAGTGTCCCCAGCCAACAGACTTCAGTGTAGCTGGCCCTTTTCAAAGCCAGTGAAGCTATCAGACCAAGGGCATCAAATGGTCCTTATAACTGGCCCCAGTTCAATATCCTGAAGTCTGAACACTTTTCAAAGGCAGCCCCACATACAGCATGTTAGAGCAATCCAACCGAGAGGCTACAAAGCCACATGTTACCATTCTAGATTTGTCATACCTAAGACTGGATGCAGTGCACAAGCCTTAACTAGTGTGTGAAGCAATGATGTTCTGTTGTGAAGCCAAAGGAAGTCTCATTTTCATTCAGTCATTATTTTTATTTGAATGGTGTTAGTGTTAGAGAGAAGTAAGAGATTAAATTATATTTCCTTCCCCTATGCCTCTCAACCCTTCTTTTATTACAAATTATTTCTCGAAAACTTAGTATAAAGGAATTTCATTATACTATTCCTTTTCAGAGTAGCATATTTTCAAGAAATTATGTGTAATATATACAAATGATAGGTGTACACACACACACACACACACACCTATAATGAATGGTATATTTGATATAAATAGAAAGAAGCAAAGCACAATGTTTTTGCTTTTTATTTTTTAACCTTTTTGTTTAGTGTATTATGTTTTATTTTCTTTGTAATGTGATGCTGCTATGGTATTGTTTGTTGGATTAGTGCAAAATGAATTACAAATTAATTTTAAAAATATACTATAAAGAAATTTCTATTCTGTCTGGTTCCCCTTCTCTGCAGAGTTTCATTTCAGAAATGTACGCGTCTCTGTTTTGAGTGTGTAGGAGTGTGTTGAATATGAGTTTAATAAACTACAACTGAAGCACAATCTGGGTTGATTTAGAAATCTCAGTTCAATTTCTTTGTGTGGCAGGAAAAAACCACAGAAAATGAACCGTTTCCTTTACAGCTGTTTGCCAGTAAGCAAGTCTTAGGCATTTATGCAAGTTTTGTTGAAATGTATTGTGGATCAAGAGGGGGAAAAGGAGGTCCTGGACCACTTCAAAAGAGATTATGTGTGTTTGTTTAAATGAAGCTTTTGGAAGTGCCTGACCTGTCACTGTGTTCTTTCTGCTTCCTTTCCCACAGCAGGTTTGCTTTCAGATGCATCCTAAAATGTTGAGCAGAAAGGAGAAGGAGCTCCGGAGCAGCTGCTTCTGTATAGCTGGGATAAGGCTTCTTTTCAACTAGTTTATTTTTATATTGCAAGATGCCCTGAGAACTTCTTATTTTTAACAGACACCTTTATAGTGGTAGTTGGTGGCTT